CATAATGCACTGGGCAAATCTGTTGCAAAAGACCTCTTTCAAATGATGAAGAGCAAAGATGTCTCCTTGAAGACTAAGGTGCGTGTAACCTAAGCCATGGTATTTTCAATCACCTCTTACGCATGTGAGAGCTGGACGATGAATAAGGAAGACTGAAGAAGAGTTGATGCTTTTGAGTTGTGGTGTTGGGGAAGAATGCTAAGAATACCATGGTCTGCTAAAAGGACTAACAAATCTGTCTTGGAAGAAGTGCAGCCGGAATACTCCTTGGAAGCGAGACTGGCAAGACTTTATCTCACCTACTTTGGTCATGTTGTCAGAAGGAAACATTTACATGCTTGGTAAAGTGGAGGATCAACAAAGAAGGGGAAAGGCCTCAGCGAGATGAATTGATACAGTGGCTGCAACGACGGGCTCAGGTATAGCAAGGATCATGAGGCTAGCACAGAGCCAGGCAGTGTTTAATTCTGCTCTGCATAGGGTCTCTATGAGTTGGAGACAATGCAATGGCACCTAACAACAACAACAACAAAAATCTTTACAGAAGCAGATTGCCACATTTTTTCTCCCACAGGGCAGCTGGGGGAGTTGAATTGCTGACCTTTCAATTATAGCCAAGCACTTAACCACTGCACCACCAAGTCTCCTTATAACTCCAGAAGGTAGAAGGTGGTATTATTATACCCATTTTACAGATTATAAAATGAGGTTCAGACAGGTTAAGCCAACTAACCCCAGGACATACATCTGGCAAGAGGTGGTGCCAGAGTAGAAAAGGTGGTTGTCTCTAAAGTTTTAGCACTACTTGGCAGGCTAAAATAACAATGAATAAGCCACAGAGCAGATATGACCAATGCCTAGAGGAACTCATCTAGAGAAAGGAAACCAAACGCAAAGAAAGCAAGCCAGGTAATGATGGGACCCTGAAACTTTCCCAATGTCCACATAGACTGGTTCTTTTCTCATCAAAGGTCTTTTCTCACCAAAGGTCCCCTTTCATAACCAATGTTGCATACTAGATAAAACAAAAAACGCAAATGCAACCACTGCCGTAGAGTCAGATCTGACTAATAGCGATCCCTCCTTGGGTTTCCGAGGCAGTATCACTATGGAAGTAGATTGCCCAACCTTCCTTCTGAGGAGTGGCTGGTGGGTGTGGACCGCCAGCCTTCTGGTTAGCAGTCAAATGCCTTAGGCACTGGTGGCATAGTGCCTAAGGCACTTGACTGCTAACCAGAAGGCTGCCAGTTCAAATCCACCAGCCACACCTCAGGAGGGAGGTTAGGCAATCTCTTCCATAGAGATACTGCCTCAGAAACCTAAGGTGGGGTTGCTATGAATCAGGACTGACTCCACGGCAGTGAGTTTGGTTTTTTATTTTCAATGATTAGAAAATCAAATATCAAATCATACTTGCTACTGGTGGGCTTTGACGCTAGGTCATACATAGTTCAGCCTTTTTTTCTTCTCTTTGGCCCAGCAATTCCACTTTAAAAAAAATTTACCCTAAGGGTATACTCAGGTTTTATTCAGAACATTGGTAGGATTACAGGAATTATTTAAGAGACCTGAATAAATAAAAAGAGGATGAAGCTACTCTTAATAACTTTTCCTTAAAATGCTGGCTATGAGTAAAGACCATGAAAGGAGAGAGCACTCTACTTTGTATCCCACATATTCAGACTTTATTTTCCAAATGTTTTCTGGTTACCACGGCAACTTCTGAATTTCTCTTTGTGTAAATTGGAAATTGGGAATCTCGTTTTTAAAAAAAGAAAGATTAGTGTGTTCTTTTCATCCTGGTAAGCTCATTCTGTGCTGACAAATTACATTTTGACAGCTAGGTTGTAATCCAAAACATGCTTTTATAAAGTCTCCGAGTAATGAAGTATTTCCAGGGATTGACAGTTATTCTTCATTTATATTTTTATGTATCTGCTTTCATTGAATTCAAGTGATAAACTGAAGTGTGAAATAATTGCTATAATTTCTTAAATTCAGAAATATATCCTCATTTGAAAAACGTGACTTATGTCAATTTGATTATTGTACTTGTGAAGTGTGGTATAAGGAAAGAATACAAGCTTCTGAATCAATCAGGCTTGTTCTGACACGTTCTAGTGGTGTGACCTTGAGCAAGCAGTCTGATTCTTTGAGCCTCAGTTTCCACTTATAAATAAATAAAACGTCTCTATATATAAAATGCCTATGTATACAATGGCTATGATAATTATATATAATGAGTGTGTATACATACATATATACAGACATAAACAGATATACAATGTCTACAACAATGCTAAATATATCAAACAGGTTCTTAGTATAACCTGGAAGCTATTAGTACCAAAGAAAAAAAATAAAAGGAAGCAATTGAAGGATCCAAAAATTATCAGGCTTGGTTTAAAAGAAACCAAGTTTCACTCAGGAAAAATTGGATTAAAACAAAAAATTAACACACAACCGACAATGTTAGAACTGGATTTCCTCTGTTTCAGCTATGTATGCTATTACTAGACACTGATAAGTAATAGGAAAAGATAGACGAAATTTGTAATGCGGTAAAAATATGACTTAAATAAGATTGTACAGTTGCATAAATTTGAGTTTCTCCAAGCTTTACAAACAACAGTCTGAAAATATGCAGTCAACAACTTTCCAACACTGAGTAGGCCAGCTTTTAAGAAATGGAGGTCATGGTGAAACAGGACTAGGAGCCCTCCATAAACCACTTAAGATGAGGGCACGTAATTCATGAAGATGAGACTTAACACTTCTCTCGATATGATTCACCACTGTAGGAAGGTTAACACTCATGCAGGGACAGGTTCACCCTCTTGTTTTCCAGTGACGTTTATGAATCTACCTCCTCTCTTTTTCTTATTTCATTAGGGGGCATGATGCCCTACTATATTTTTATACAAATATCAGTGTGATACTTATGTGTCACATATAACATGTAGTTTAAAAAAAATACAAGGTTTTTTTGTAAGCACACTTGCTAACTTTTTTTGTAAAAAGAAGTTAGCACAGCATGCTTACAGAAATACCCCAGGGAGAGGGCACAGTTGGTAAAAACAGAAAATGAGTATTTTATTGTGCAAAACAGGGCATATTCTGTATCTCTTGGTTTTCTGCTTATTATAGAAGAATAGGATTCAGTGTGACATGCTAAATCTTTAGTACTTCTACTCTCTAAATCTTAATCTGCCTTTATTTCTTGATCTTCAACGATTACAACAAGAGCACAAATGTAAACAACTGTAAAGGAAAACAAGATATTCTGAAATTAAAAACTATACAAAATTTCTTAGAATGAAAGTAATAATTTAAGAGTCCTTAAATACATGTTTGTTTGTATTCTGGCACTCAGCTGTTAGCCGAAAACTGGACATCTGAGTTCATCCAGAAGTGCCTCAGAAGAAAGGTCTGGAGATGATCTACTCCAGAACAGCGACTGGAAACCCTGTGGAGGACAGTTCTCCTCTGACACACATGGGGTTACCATGAGTTAGAATGAACTTGGCAACCACTTTTTTTTTTTTTTTTTAAACTACATGTTATATGTGACACATAAGTTCAACCTATCTAAGTTAGTCAGCCTACGCAAAAATGCTGATGCAGAACTGGTAAAAACAAAACAAAACAAAGCTAAGATTCCAACACAATAACAGATAACAACACCCTGCTTTCACTACCTGAATTTGGTTTTTATTTATTTGTTTTGAATCTAAGGTGGTACATTCCAGAGAGTTTAAATGGGGCAGAAAAAAGATCACTTATGGATATTTTTCTCAGACTACTTACCTTCTCAGGTGTCTATCTACTGCTTGTTATCAGAAACAAGATGGACACATGGAACTCTGGGAGAATGTTTTCAAAGGGAAAGCATCAGTGGCAAGAGTAACTTTTTTACCACCACCAACAGCACCCCATTCCTATCACCAGTCAGTGACTGGTGGAGGTTTAGGGTGCCTGGCCAAGCTGGGTCAATCATGGCCTCTGACTGAGGATACCAGGTAAAAAACATAATGCTCAGTTAGAATTATTTCAGAAAAACAATTATTTTTAGTATAAGTATGCTCCAAATACTGCACTAAGACATACTTCTACTACACACCATGACTCAAAAACTCTCACTGCCATCGAGTCAGACCCGACTCACAGTAACCCCTCCTTGGGTTTCTGAGGTGGTATCTCTATGGAAGTAGATTGTCCAGTCTTCCTTCCAAGGAGTGGCTAGTGGGTTTGAACCACCAGCCTTCTGGTTAGCAGTCAAATGCCCTAGGCACTATGCCACCAGAACTCCTGCTTTATAAATACTAATTCATTTAATACATGAAAATACATGGATATGTAAACATATGCTATAAGGATGATTTGAGTTTAGGACTTTATATTTTTAAATTTCAAAAATTATGCAAAACTTTCTATAATTACAAGTACCTGGGTGGTGCAAACTGTTAACATGCTGGGCTGGTAACCTAAAGGTTGGAAGTCTGAGTGGTAACTGGGGGCAGAGGCACATTAAAGGAAAGGCTTGGCAGTCTACTTCCAAAACTTCAGCCATTGAAAATCCCATGAAGCATGAGCAGAACTATGAAGCACAGCTCTTCTCTGACACACATGCAAACACAGTAAGGTGGGACTGACTGGACGGCAGCTAGTACAGGGACTGGTACTCCTATAAGTAAGACACTTAATGAGTTGTCATCATTGGGCTTCAAATATTTACATAAAAACACAAAGTAAAAGACAGACAGTGTAGTAAAGTAACGCAGTGGGTTGAGAGAGTCTGGAGGTCTAGGTTTTAGTCCCTGCTCGTTAACTAACTAGTAAGGAGGGAGAGGAAGGTAAGTTCCCTCAACTCTTTGGATTGAGGTTTCCTTTCTGGAAAATGAGATTTGGACGAAACTGTATTTTAAGGTCTTCGCTGCCCCTAAAATTCCATTATTTCTTATAATATGGAAAGAGATCTTGCAGAGAAAAGTTTATTTTACCTCTGCAATCATTCTGTTGGTGTCCCCTAAGAAAAGCAGATTCAGAGATTCTTCCTCTGTGGTTGCCTGATGAAGAGACAGGTTTTTCAGGTGAATGTTCTGATCAGGGTCCTCCAATATTGTCACTTTCCTAGGGAATGGGAAGTAAGAAAAACAAGGTATTGTTGAGAATGAAAATAACTTGGGGTCCTTCATACAGATACATTTTTCAAAAGCTGTATACTGAGATCTCTTCAACTTACAAAATTGAGTAATACACAAGATACCAGACAGCACAGGATGAACATCAAACACTGACATTCCCTTGACAGTACTATCAAATAGCTCTGGGGCCGAACATTATGTTACAAGCTCCTGATTTAACACCACCTGTCTTTGTAATCATCGTTATCACTAAATCATCTTAAAATGCACATTCTTGCTGAATTAAAAATGCAAATAGATAACACTTTTCTACTTATGTATCAGGAGAGTAGGCCAAATAATTTCTTCTGTGACATGATTCAGTTTCTTATATAGGTGATGCACTAATTCATTTTCCTTTAATTTTTCCCTTTTGCTCAATTTCATATCACTTTCAATTTATATGACATTTCAAACTGGTTAGCTCATCAATAACTTAAACTGAGAAAAACAGAGGTGTCTGTCATCCTTCTAGGAGCTTTTCCCCTGACTAGTTTTCTCATCAGAGTGAGTAAAAAACAGCTCAGAGTTTTAGTTTGTCATTATCTGTAAGCCCACCAAATATGTTGTCTTGATCCTTTTCCATTTACAACATAACTTCTTCTTCCTTTTCATTCTTAGAGACACAGGCTTAAGTCTGGAATTATATTCACCTATTAAAACTGCCTTAATGGGCTTCCTGGTGCCAATACTATTTCCTCCCAGGTGAATCCTAACCTTGCTGCCATAGTTGGCTTGTCAATACTCTCCTTTAAAGTCCTTTTAGGACTTTCTGCAACTGAACAGAATTTCACCAAGTCCCTCATACTTTGTTTCAGAGGTCTATAGATTTGAGCCATGAAGTTACTAGAGTTTCCTTCTGCCCTGACAGAGGTAAACTGAATTTCTTAAAAGATGTTAAGTAAAGGAGATCTTATAATTCACAAATATTGCCAGAGAGTATTTCCAGATGTCTTCCCTTGCTTACAATATTTGGAACTGATGATGATAAATAAATGTTGGCATCATCTAGTACTACTTCTAAAAGTTGTTGTTGTTGTTGTTATGTGCCATCGAGTCGGCCCCGACTCATAGCAACCCCTCCTTGGGTTGCCAAGGCAGTATCACTACGGAAGTAGATTGCCCAACCTGCCTTCCGAGGAGTGGCTGGTGGGTTTGAACTGCCAGCCATCTGGTTAGCAGTCAAGTGCCTTAGACACTATGCTACCAGAGCTCCTACTTCTAAAAGTAGTACTAGCAAATGGACATGTATCACTTGCATATTTATAAGTAAATATTCAGAACAACTTAAAATTGAAGATTTGGACATACCATAATTTTTTTTTATCCTTCCCTTTTGTAAGGAGGTTATCTGAATACTCATATGTAATTTGTGGGCACTTAAAATATTAATTACAGGAAGAAAATGGAGTTTTCCCAGAACATCTGTGATCAATATGTCACTAACAACGTACTCCTTTGCCCAAGTTTTGAACCTTTTGCCTTCTTCAACAATACCAGCTAAGATAGAAAAAGATTTCTTTGCTTAATGAAAACAAGTAACTTATTTATTTTTCAACAAAGCTCATAATTGAGCATATTTCAAATGCTTAATAGTTCAAAAATGTCTGGAAAACAGAAAGCATATTTAACTGAGATGGATGAATTGTATCCTCCTTTAGGAAGCACCTTTATTCCCTAAAATTTATTTCCACCCTGATCTTCCTGAAGTGCTTGAGAAGTAAAGGATTGGTTAAATTCAAACCCTAGGGACACAGAAGTCAGAACTCTTCCTAAATCCACAAGTTCTGGGGCTTAAAGGTAAAAGAATTTAAGTAATATTGGAAGGAAGATAAAGGCATGAACTAAGTGATGAGACGGTACATTAAAAGTGAGAATAGAAGAGAGCTCTGCCTTTTACAACATGAAATCAAAAACGAATTCTCCAATTCCATGGCAAGGTCAACAGTGATACATGTTGTAAAACTAAGGCAGATATAGTTCTATTCCTGTGCAAGTTCAGAAAAGGGAGAGGCAGTGTAGCAAAGAGATGGGTAGGGTTCAAAGAAATGCTCACACTGATGAGCAACAAATGTATGCCACACATCCTATCATTTCTAATCTAGGCAGCTCTGCCTGGCTTCACACAGGAACTACCTAGAAAGCTCAAGGTGCCTGGTTCACACTCTTAAGGGATTCTGATTTGATTGGTCTGTGGTGTAGTCTATGTATCAGAAATTTTAAGAACTCCAAGTGACTCTAATGTGCAGAGTTGAGAACCACTGACTTCATCTTTAATAACTCTATGTTATTAGTATGGGGAGAGAGGAGGATTCTGATGTCTTTATTTTCACCTTCTACCTACTCCATCCCCAAGGGGAAAAGTTACTCATTATACTAATTATAGCCTAAAACAGTGATGGATCACAGACTAATGGGCAAGGTCTCTGTGAATTTTTAAAAATATGTCCTTTCATGGGCTGTTTCTTTCTACTTTCTTGAATATGCAGCTGGCAGGTAAAATAAGCCACACAACATTAATCACAATGATAACCAATGCTCAACTTGGGAATTTGAGTCCACCTGAACATCCGCAGGGTTTATATCACTGCTGTATCAGAAAAGATGTGCTGGTAAGGGCACATCCTACATACATCTCTCACTGCTACTTCACTGAAACAGACAATATAGAACACAAGCATAGCATTCTAAAAGCTCAGTTATTAGACAACCTAAATGCCTCACTCATTTCAGATTGTATTTACATAAAATAATTAGAAAGTGTTTGCTAAATGTCATCAATGGCACTTGGCTCAGCTTCTTCTTTAAATCATTCAGAGCTTTTGATCTCCAGTGTTGTTACTTCAGAACTGTTACACATCTATATTTACTTCCAGGGACTTGTGCAAGTCTGTCACTTTGACCAAAATACAATTTGCACATGCCCTCAGTTTTTCTGCATAGAACCTTCAGTTGTTTTTGTAACCTATCCCTATGCATTTTTTCACCTCTTTTCTGATATCATATTTCCCTTAGGATTTTCTGATTTCTTGCCCATTGATGGTTTTGACAAGTAAATGAAAAGGCATATTGGTGTCCAGACTAGTTAGACATCTTTTACTGTTCTCTCCCTGCTTATAGCTCATCTGTAGGCACCTTATAAAAGCCTCCATTGCTGACATTCATCTGGAATCTTCTGAGGTCCAATTCTTCCTTTCTGACCAGGGTCTCTTTTGCCAATTCTTCCCAGAGAAGAACTCTCTTCTTTTCTAGCTTCTTGGGTATGAGGCTGTGGCCTTTTCCTCATTGCCCTGACTGCCTTCACTGAAAATCTCTTTTGCATCGAGCCTTGCAACAATATCTCAGCCCTACCCCCTCCTTTGTCTATGCATATATAAGTCTAGCCTAAGCTAAGTCCTAGGAACTCCCATTAGCCTAGGGAAGGCTGGTTGGAGAGTGAAAATATCTTCCACTCTGATACTGGTAAAATTTTTTTTTTTCCAAGTTGGAGAAAATAAGGATTCTAAGCAAAATTTCTACATCAGGTTCCTTCCCTAGCCCTGTTCTCCTCCTCCTCCTCCTCCTCCTTCGTTCTTCTCTGTCTCTGCAAATCAATAGCTATTTCCTGAGTCCTTAGTCCTCCACTTGCTTCTGACTATAATCCTCCTCCTCCTCCTCCTTCGTTCTTCTCTGTCTCTGCAAATCAATAGCTATTTCCTGAGTCCTTAGTCCTCCACTTGCTTCTGACTATAATTTTCATGAATTTCAAAGAGGGCTTTATTAGAGTTTCTTAAATAAACATCCTAATTCCAAGACGGAAACCCCCCAAACTATTTATTTGATTCTTTTTGAAAGGTCCTGTGAATAATTTTCCCTACAAAATGTTTCTAAAATGTTTAGATTTCAAGCCAGAAGTCACTGATAGCCTTAACTTGGACACCTAAGTGGAAAAGTTCTGCTGAGTGTACTCGGCCTGCTTAATGATGGAGAAGAGGCAAGGTTTGTGTTTTCTCTGTAAACAGAGAATCTTTTCCATTTGGCCAAGTAGTTGGAATTTGTAGGCTCTTTCTGACTGACTGACTGGAAGACATACAGAGAGCAATAGCCAAGCTCTTGTTCTCAATAATGGAAGTTTTTCCTTTCATCAGGACAGCCATCAATGAAAAGAACCTCCTCACCCAACACCTTACCTCCACGACACTCCCTCACCACCAACTTGCTGAACAGGCACTTTCCAGGAGCTACAGCAATGAATATGGTTTCTCATTTTCATGTTATAGATAAGCGTTGCCATGGTGATTTCTATTTCCGTCTACTTGCCAATGTCCCATATGACTGTGCAGGCTATCTACTGCACAATGGCACCACATCCAATAGGGCACCATTCACATTATGGATGTGTATATTTATTATGGCAAATGTCTGTCAGATGGCAGTAAAGTGTTTTCTAACAAAAACATCATATTTCAACAATTTTCCAAATGATGGCAGGGATGCCACCCTGACTAGAAGCAACTCTGTCTAATTACTGTGACTTACAGTATTATCAACAGTAGGCAGGCCTCATGAAAATGAAAGGTGGTCCACCAAGCTCTTTTAAATAACTGGGACTGTTTTACATGTAATCTTATCCCCACCATCCATTTCAATAAAGAGAATATTCTCGAGGTCAATGGTTCTCAACCGATTGTTCCCTAAAAACACATTCTAACCACAGTGACAAAAGCTTTCTATAGTGAGAATTTGGGAAAAAAGAGGAGATATAAATTTTTAGGAGTTAAGTGTGGGGACTGCCCCCCTCCTGTACTGAAATGATCTCAAAGGCAGATTTTCTTCAGATTGATAAAAATAATCTTCTGAAAGGTTTACTCTGCTATAAAATACAAATATTGGAAACATATCACTTTATTTTTTTATTAAAATAAAATTAACATTTTATTTTTTGTGTTGGTTCTGAGACAAAATGGC